TGCCTTTTATATTTTCAATAACTATTGTGTGCAGCATAAAAAGTTTCAGAAGGTAAAGATTTAGAGTACAGTAGAATAGAATAGATTAGAATAGAAAATCCCTTTATTGTCCTACAATGGGGAAATTTAGGCATTACAACAGCAAAATATTATAGCAAAAAAGTGGTCACACAAATGTGGACCTTAAAAAGTCTATAAAAATAACAGAAAAAGTGAGAAAGGTAGTCAACTTCTAAAGGAGCCATTACTAATTTGTTTAATTTAGACGGCTGACACATGACAAAACCAACTTTTTCAATAAATCCTTTGCTGTTTAGATCAAAATAATCAGTTTGAGTGTTTTTCCGTTACTGGAAAGGCCGCTTATTATCTTTGTTTTAATTGCAAAGTAGAAATGCATGCAGACTATTTAATTATTTCTCTGTGTATTAGATGTCGTATCATTTTCAGGGACAATTGCCAATTTATTAGATGTTTTTTTCTGATATTGTGCAACCCCTAATTTATAGCTCGGAGTTCAATTGCCTAACAAGACAATTCAGCAAACGGAAAGTTTCACATCGTTAAACATCTCATCGGAGCGTGACAGAAATGTAGATTCAGGTTTAATTTTATCAAAACAGGGATTGTCTTTTATGTTTACTACTCTTCTTTGCAATATGAGGCCGTTTGTTTCTTCTTGGTTCATTCACTGATTTGTTTAGTGTGCCGTAATGAACTCCACCCTGTATGGGCAGCAGTCAGCATGTGGGAGTTAAAGGTATTAGGCAAAGCAACCTGTGACTCCAGCTCATCCTGGGATTTTTTTTATGTCGCGCATCAATTTGTTACTAGATCAATAAATTAGATGCTTTTCCCATGTTTCTTCCTTGAGACAAGATTGATTGAATTGCTTGGTTAGATACAGAACCAGGGACTGTTCTCACGGGACATTAAAATATCCAAACGGCTCTATTCTTTGTAAACTTTGTAATGTGGAACACACAATTTTAAGAGTATGGATGTACAGAACCCGGTTTTAAACTTTTCCACATTTTGGTTTGTTGCAACAGGAAACATTGATGGATTTAATCAGCATTTCATGTTGAAGATCTTCAAAAAAAAGTGCTTTGATGTAAAGTGAAATGGTGTTTTAATCTAGAAGTACAAAATCTCTTGATTGTTTTTTTTTTTTTTTGCATTCAGACCGTTTTATTCTGATAATCCCTGAAAAAAATCCAGTGCATCAAACTGCATTATTGGTCCACTTGCCAGAGGTTTGGTGGAGGAATGTTAGAGAAAGAAAAGCGTCTTATAAAAAAAAGAAATAAGGTGGATGGAGTGAGGAGAAAAATTAAATTTAAATCAAGTTTAGGTTAAAAATTTATATTTCAAATTTTGAACATTTCTCAAAGAACTGTTCAAACGATCATGTAAATATAAAATATTATAATAAACCTACCAAAACATAACTACACTATGTTGGTCTATAATTACACACTCTTATATTTGATATTGTAACATAATATAATATCAACTGCAGTTAAAAGGCACCGTGAGGGACGGGCCACATAGCTGACCATTCTGATTAATACAATAGTCCTATTTAATCTTCTATAAGTAATGACAACAATAAACATGACATTTTTTTGGTATTTTAGGATTGCATGCTAATTAATTGATGGTTAAGTTGAGCGGGTCATGGGGACTTTGGGAATTTCTGCACATTCTGCTCTTTGTGCTCATCGTACCACTCTGGACACTGAACTGGAACAAATCATACTCATACATTTAGCATATTAATGAAGCTAAATATCAGACATCCTCTTCCCCTGTGCTGCAGATTTGGGCATGGCTGATTTATTGTGGATGTGCTTTTTCAAAGCAAGAGTTAGCTAATTCCTCGGGGGCGAGTGCCCTTCCTGTCACACTGATCAAAGACTTTTCCTTGATATGAGCATAAACTGCTCCATGCCCCATCACCATCAATGTCTGCGCATGGGTGTGAGTTTGTGTGTTTGCAGAGCCGTGTGTGTGTTGGATTGTGTGAGGTGAGGTAGAAACGCTGAGAGTTTTTATTTGTGCGCACATGTGTGTGTTTCCATCCCCCCATCACCAGAGGCTGTATTATGCGTTGTTGTTGGCGTGGCCTACATGCTTATCCAAGCATGCTGCGGTGTGGTACAGTACACACGTCTTCCCATCCCCTCTGCCCTCCCCTGTCCTGTCCGCAGGCCCGCTTCATTTACGTTGGCTCCTGAATTAATCCCAGTTAACTGTCACATTAGCTCAAATCTGTTGGTCGGCTTTGTCAACAGCATAAACTAGCCTGGGTACGTGATATCGTAGATTATTTTTGCTTTGCCACATTCTGCTTGTATGAATATATTTAGGATAGCCAAACCTGTGTCTATAGATGACCTCTGTCTTATTAAAGCAATGCACATATTTCGTTTTTGTGTCGTCTTGCATTTAACTGACCCGCAGGTGTCCTTTAAAATGTTGGCGCTGGGGTTCAATGCTCTTGCATCTTTGGATGCTTGCATGCTTGCATGTATATTTTCTATTTGAGTCTTTGGAAAAGTTTTAAGAAATTAAAACATTTTGTTTTGATTTTTTGTGATTCGTAAAAGTCTTCTTTTAATCGGCTTTCTATGACTTTCCCATATGTGCTACTTTGTGCAGATCTGCCACCTGAAATCCCGACACGTTTTATCAAAGTTTCCGATTTACTGCGGTGTGGCATTGATCTTTTTTTCATCCCCTCCTCTGCATCTTTCATTGAGCACCTCTCTGTCTCTTGCTGCTCATTTACAATGGATGTGCAGAATGTGCTTGAGAGATGCACCAAGCGGGTGCCACAGGAGAGCGCATCCCCCACTCATAAGTCTTTCATCCTAATCCCCAGTCCCTGTCCAAGAAAGGGCCTCCTTTTCACTCATCTGCCCCAAAGCCTCTTTTTGTGACCCCCCTCAGTCTCTCTCCCACGACCAGAAGCCATGCATGCTAAGACAACGAAATACACGCGTGCATTGTCGCCTATAGTCAGAAACCACGTGACTGGAGAGTTGTTCCCGTTTGCACAACATTTTTTTTTTTTTCCTAAACCCCCTCCCCCAAAAGAAAGCTCGGGTCAAAACATATTTGCTCCAAACTGTGGAATGGAGGATGTTTAATGCCAGGATATGCAGAACTGACACAGCCTCTTACTATATGTTTTTGCCTGAAGGTGGAAGCAGATTTACTGCCAGGCTGACTAACACAGCTGCTGGGGGAGCATGTCTCTCGTTAAAGGAATTGTCCTCAATAGAGATGGACGTTTGGCAGCGAGTTACGTAACTGACTGGGGATCATCTCCAGGCGGTGTTGGTGTTGGGATTTGGTGTGTCAGACTGTGTTGTGCATGCCTGTGTGTGAGTGTGAGAAAGTTTTTGTGCTGGAGTTTGTGATTCACAGCACTTACAACAAAGTAAGATATAATCAAATACTCTTTAATTTTTACGACCCAATGTTTTTCTATCCTTCTATTCTACAGTTTTGAATAGGACTTTTTTGCAGACATGCAATTCCCTTCATGTTCATTTTCATCATAAGGCATGCAGTAGCACGGAATTTAAATTATTTTGGGCCGATAAAACCTAAAGACTTTGCCGTCAGATGGCTGCCAGCAGGATATATGTATGAAATTGTCCTGTTTTGGATTTTTATGCATTCATTTTTATCTCTTGATTTTATTACATTATATAGAGACTAAACAGCAGCTAAGAAACAGAACATAACAACTGACATGACAGAAAACAGTCAAAATGATCTAAGAAACCTGGCAGTGTATTCAAAAATAACCCGAGTCCATGTGTTGATCAGTTCTCCTGATTATTGTCAATAGGATCGACCTAAAGATGCCGGAGAAATATGAGAGACACCAGAGGCAAAAATGCAGCAGAGGGAACACATAATGTAGAAAAGTCACGCTACATTTACTTCATGAAAAGGAGCCCTGACTAAGTACTAAGTGCATGTGCAATATTGTTCTTGTATAATATTCTAATTTGGTATAATATTTTATTTGGGGTCTTTTTTATTATGTAATGAATAGTCATTATAATTAACAGAAAAACACTTGATATCTAGTATTTTGTGTGTAATAAAAATTAAAAAAAACACGGGTTGGTTAAATGTTTGTGTTTATGCATTTAGCAGTCGCTGTTATCCCAAGGGACTTACAAAGACACAATGTGACAGTTATCAACAATATGACAATATGTTATTACTATGTCATTACTATGTCATTAGTATGACAAATACTTTTACTGAGTATTCTGTTAAATGATAAAAAAAAAAAAACATTGCAGCATATGGAGATGTATATATCTCTAATTTCATTGTCCTAAACAGTTAAAGACATTTAAGTTAAAAAAAAATGCTCCTGTTTCAGTAAATGATCAATAGTTTATGTACAGTTAAATAAGAAAAATGAAGTTCTGAGCAGGCTTGGTGTGCTGCCAGCTGCTAAGAAATCTACACACACCTCATATAAAGTGACTCTAATCCTGTATATTGTAAACATATCGCTCTGCTCTAAGCACTCAAGGTTGAGAGGCTCTCTGTCTGTGCTGAGTTCAGGGACTCTATGTTGGCTTGCTCTCCGCCTGGTGTGACCCCACCCCTGGTAAATACAGGGTTGGAGGTTTCCTCTCTGGATAAAAATACTCCAACTTCTTTACAGAGAGAGAGAAAGAGAAAGACAGAAGCAGATGGGGGGAAGCAAATTCCTTTTGCATGCACACCCATTATGCCCAGTGAGCTCAAGATTTACACTCTGCCACTGCAGTACCTCTATATATATGTGTGTAATCTTTGTAAAAAGAAAACAGCTGACAGAGAATCAGTCCGTCTTTAACCTGTAAACACAAAGTGTGCTGGGTCTAGAAAAGTCAGACAATAAATAATTGTCCTGCTTTTTTTTTTTTTCATTTTTGTCCCTCTTGAACTACCGTACCTGACTCAGTGTGACATCAGCATTGTGCTGTTTGAGTTAGCTTTACACTGACAGAGACCTTAAACTGCAACAGGTAGAGATTCACTGATGGGCAGGACTCCAGAAGCCTGCAGAGACCCAAGAAGAACCTTCTTATATTCTGGGAGATCCAACTAGAGCTTCTAGTTAGGAGAACCAGAACGCAGAACAGAGCAGGAAATCGCTCTCTGACTGACTTCCTTGTTTGAACTAAAAGCAGATCTGCTATCATGGCTCCATTGAAACCATGCCTGTGAGTAATTACTGAACTTTGATCATCTTAATGACAAGAAAGCTACACAATGAGCTTTGTGGAGTTATACCTCTTTTCATGCTCTTAAGTTTAAAAAAACAAGAATCCATTTTTCTTTGAATACCTTTATAGTTCATCTCACTTCTGTTTTCATCTCTCTTTAAAGAAACAAGAATACCCAGCAAACGGTACGCCTTTCTGCAGCAGGCCAGCGTTTTGATGATCCGAAAACAACACAATTGGAGAATCAAATGTGATTTAGTTGACCTCTTTTCTCTTTTGCAAACCAGTTGCCACCTAAGTCTTTAGAATGAATGATACAGGACTGGAAAATCAAAGGACGGGACTGAGAGAGGTCTTTGACATTCTGGTGAAAACACCTTCAGAGCGATTGCGCAGCTTGACTTTCCAGCTGGGTGAGTCTCCTGAAGACACTCTCGTACACGCTTTGTGTCTCACCATCCTCCAGAGTCCGGACCGCGCCCTGGAGAAGCTCCGGACACTACAGGACGACCCCCTTGCTAACCATCTCGCTGAAAAATGGCAATCGGGCGAAGGCCAATTAGATGATTTTGGAGATCATTGCAGCCAATTTGAGGCCAAGACGGGAGAGTCCCTGACATCGCTGGCTAAAGTTTTTAAAGTTTTATTTGACCAAAGGTTGTGTGACTCAGTTCTGAGGAATCTTGCTTACAAGAGAGCCCTTTCTAATGAATGCTTTAAGACAAGTTCTCTGGGATATAACAATTTTAGAGAGGAAGCCAAAGCTGTATGCGGGCCTCAGTTTGCGGAGTGGATGTGTTCCTCCTCTGATCTCAAATCAGAGTTTTCGCTCGATCCAAACAGATACCTGAGGGAAGAAAATGCAACATTAAAATTTGCTGTGTCTGAGGATGAGTCTGCAAAGGCTCAGTGCCTCCCCAGCCCTCTGGTGGACAGTCCCTCTGAGCTTTCATATCCCTCTCATCTTGAGATAAGTCTTCCTCCAACAGATTCTTTTAAAGGGGACAAAGCATTTACAGAAACGTCAGGAAACCAAATACTGATAGCCCCTTCCATCCATCCTGTTAGTGGAAGTCAAACTGAAAATGTTCAATCAACAGTGCCTCAGCACACACCAGCTGGAAGATCCCAGTTTGGAGGAGAAAATGAAATTAAGACAGATGAAGCATCAATGAATACATTTCAAAGTACCAAAAGTGCAACTTACCCATACAAGGCCAACAGTGGGACCAAAGCAACACAGTTGGCTTCACAAAGTATTCTGCCAAATATTTCCGGTTTAAAAAGCCCAAGTGAAAGCAAAGAAACTAAAGAAGAGGAGGAGGAAGAGGAGGAGGAGGAAATATTTTATGCATTTGTTATCTTGCATGCTCCAGAAGATTCAGATGTGGCGGACAGCATGAAGGAAAAACTTGAGGCTGCCATCGGTACCACAGGGGCAACGTTCTCAGATGAGTTTGCTGTTCCAGGAAAAAGCACTCTGAGGTGTGTACAGGACGCTGTCAACAACTCTGCTTTCACCATCCTGCTGCTCACACGCAACTTCAACTCACAAATGCTGGAAATGAAGACCAACATCGCCCTCATCAACTCCATACACAATGAACACAAATTTAACACAGTCATCCCACTGCTGCCTATGGACAACTGCATGCCCCGACGAAGTATTCCCATCGCTCTGCAGACACTGGTCCCACTGGAGGAGAAGAGAAACTTTGAAAAAAAACTACAAAAGGTTTTTAATAGAGCAAATATTGAGAGACAGAGAAAGATCTGGACTGAAGAGCTGAAAATCAGGAAACTCAAACAGGAAAAAGAGAGGCTGAGGCTTCACATGGAGCAAAGGCTCGTTCTTGGAGCCAGTGTGCAAAGAGAGCAAGATGGTGGGGTTTGGTGGCCACAGCATTCTAACATTCACATTGAAAACGCAAATTATGTCATGATTGGGAATGACTCTACTATGACTGTGGGCAGAGGTGGCAGTGAGGATCAAGACTGAGAATGGAAGGAAGGAAGGAAGGAAGGAAGGAAGGAAGGAAGGAAGGAAGGAAGGAAGNGTGGGCAGAGGTGGCAGTGAGGATCAAGACTGAGGAAGGAAGGAAGGAAGGAAGGAAGGAAGGAAGGAAGGAAGGAAGGAAGGAAGGAAGGAAGGAAGGAAGGAAGGAAGGAAGATCTTTTCTCAACACTAAAATTCTTAAAGTTGGAACAGCTTTGTGTTTCTACTATATTTAAAACTAAGCTTGAAAAGCTAAATCAAAATAGTCAAAACAGCAGTTCTACACTGCAGCTATTTTGGCTTAAATGGGGAACTTCATCATCTTTATCATCATAAAATATAGCGAAAGACTGCCATCTAGTGACTGTGATTGGATTTACAGTCTCTGACCCATTCAACTGTACCAACTCTGTTTGGCCAACAGGGGGCTCTGCTGTCATACTTTTCTCATTGACAGACTCTTTTCCTTCTGTTTCGGGTGAATAAAATATTGTTTGCAAAACAAAAGCTTGAGTAAGTGTGGTTTATTATATGAGATGGATCAAACATGTTTTAGAGCAAAGTGGGGATCAGGAACCCCTGGGGAGGTGGCAAGGCATCAATGAGGGGCTCACAAGATGGGGGGTTTAAGCATTGTGATTTAATCTCTAAGGTACATGGAGGTCCATAATATATCAGAACATATAAAAATGTGAACTTTCCCTGAAATAAATAGATTAAAACTTTATTAATTTAACTAATACATTATTCAAATGTTAAACCTACATTTAAACTGTAAAATGCATCATTAAGTAATTAAATGTAATAAAAAATAGTATTATATGTAGTTTATAAAATATGTAATTACTTAACTTTATAAATGCATAGAGTGAACTAATTCTATGAATTTATAGGTGGATTTTTTAGAGGAAAATATTTCCATTGTTCTTACATGTGGCGTAATGAAAGTTGTCTGCTAAAATGAACGGAAACTTTACAATATAATAACCTTAAATTTATGCACTGCTAGAAATCAAGGATTGGATTTTATCATAGGTTAATCTAATCAAGAGGGAATGTTCAGATCTTTTTTTCTTGTTTTACAAATGAGACGCAATGTTTTCATCTGTTACAAACAAATTATCAAAATCTTTATGTAAAATAGAAAATTCTTAACATTTTGCATGAATTATGCCAAAAAATTAGATCTGCTGCACATGCCTGGAGGGAAGAAAAGGAGTTAATTTCCTAACAAACTGACAGATGTCCACATCCCCTTCAATCCACTAAAAGGAAAGAACCAAAGACAAGTAAGTATTTTATACTTTGATGATGATCGTCGCTGAAATTAGGTTTGATGAGGCATCACAGAGTTGGCACATTTCATTTTGTCTCCAACTTGCACATACAAAGAAAAGTATTCAAACTTCTTCTGACATAGAAAAAGGATTTTACACATGTTTAATATAGGGTAGGACTACTCCATGTTACTGCTTGAGTGAACTTTATCAGCAAGACACACCTGCACAACAAAATCCCTTTTGAGCCTGTGGTGGAGCAAAGCTCATACCTATGTTTCAGCAGTTTTGAATTCCCCCATGAGCTTTCTAATTATGCTGAAGGGGAGGATGACTGATACAATCACCCATGTTGATGTGACCGTTCATACTGAGAATGTTCCACAGTATG